TATAATTAATAAAAAAAATTATTACATGCGATAATAATTACAGTAGTAATAAAACCCTGGGAGGGAGCTGATGCTCCCCTCCCCTCCTTCAGGAACACTGGGAACTCTGATGATGCAATTCAAATCACCTCCAGCAGCAAAGCTCTCTCTCTCTCTCTCTCTCTCTCTCTCTCTCTCTCTCTCTCTCTCAGTGCCCGAAAAAGAAGAGGGATGCTCGCGGGGAGAACACCCCTAAAATAACCTGGACTTTCCCCCTCGCTCTTTAGAGCTCTCGAGAGACTTCCAAGTTCTCACGCTATCTGAGGGTGGGAGGTAAAGAGCTAGCTGCACTGCCTGAAGCCTTAGCTCATCAGTGGCTCCAGCATATCTCAAATATAAATAATGGGCCATGCTTCTAAACCCCACCCTACGTCAGATGTTCCACTCCAAAAAAGAGCTGAAACACTCAAAGGCAGTGCAGGATATGGAGCAACCCATTGGTAAGGCCCTATCGATGTAGGCTCCCTGGAAATGGGACTCAAAGAGATCAAAATCATCTAGATGGAATGGACAGAGACAGAAGGCCAACTTGATGCCACAGTTAGCCATCTGTGCTCCTTAACCACATGACCTAACCATGCGCACAGCTGCATCAAAAGAGGTATACTGAACGGAGCATAACTCAGGTGGTATGGCATCATTTACTGAGTCATCCTCTGGGTATGATAGATGGTAGCTTCAGTGACCCTGTCCATCAATCTCGTCCTCTGTGATCCCCTTCTCCTCTTGCCTTCACACTTTCCCAACATCAGGGTCTTTTCCAGGGAGTCTTCTCTTCTCATGAGATGGCCAAAGTATTGGAGCCTCAGCTTCAGGATCTGTCCTTCCAGTGAGCACTCAGGGTTGATTTCCTTCAGAATGGATAGGTTAGATCTCCTTGCAGTCCAGGGGACTCTCAAGAGCCTCCTCCAGCACCACAGTTCAAAAGCATTAACCTTCGCTATACGAAAACATCGCTGTGCGGGTAAGCAAAGCCTATTGGAACGCATTAAACTTAGTTTAATGCGTTCCAATAAGCATGGAAACTTACCCCTCCAGTGATGTTTTCGCTCCGGTGGCCATTTTGGATCTGCCGATCAGCTGTTCGGCGGCTCCAAAATGGCCGCCGGAGGCCCCAATCGTCGCAAAGCGAGTGCGGCGATTGGGGCTGATCCGTATAGCGATCCCCAAAAAGGGATCGCTATACGGATTCTTCGTTAAACGGTGCGCTCGTTAAGCGAGGCACCACTGTAATATCTCCAATAATGGAACAATGAGACATCATCAAGAATATTCAGAACATTATACTTAATGGACTGCACCAGATGAAAACAGAGATGGATCAGCTATGTATTTGAACAAATTAAATTTATAGTATAGACACAAATGGAATTTATAGTCAAGATGGTGAACACAGAGAAAGAAGTGAAACTGCAACGGGGAATCAACTTTTTAAAACCACAATCAAAGGCAGATAATTTTATTCTTAAAACCCAAAAGGTTCTAGAAGAAAAAGGTGAAGATACAATGCAGTGGAAAGCCAATTTGTTAATCCCACTTACGAAGATGTCAACAGCGGAAATGCATCAAATTACTATGAATTTTGATATGAAAGGGAGAAGAATCAAGATTATGAGATACATGCTGTGGCAGATGAGGCAAAGGAGACAATATCTGGAGTGGATGAAGCTCTTAAGAATGGGTGCATGGTCCATAAGATGGAAAACGAAAGATGACATGATAATAGGGGCACAAAATATTGGTTAGAATATGGAGACAGAGCAGTGGAGATAAACATTGTTAAATCTGAGAAGGTATTTTGTGGTGAAAGAATATATGATAAAATAAACACATATTAATGGTTATAACAGTGATTTAGCAATAAAACAATTTAGAATAATATAAGATGGCAGAATAATATTAAACCTATAAAACTAGTAAACTTAAAGATAAAAAGAAAGAGAAAGTCCAAGAAAATGAAGATTAGTAATGATAAATATTATGGAAAATTGTTATAATGGTGTGTTTTTTCTTTGCACGATTTCCATCTTTAATACAATTGTATAAGCGGCTGTAAGAATACTTTTCGCTCTCTGGAATTTTATCTTTTCTTACCCTTACCCCATTCTTACATGACTCCCTATTTGTACCATAACCACTATCCCTATGAAATGAATAAAAATATCTTTTAAAAAAAGAGGAAGATGCAGGACTTAATTGCCCTAAATTGAAAGCCTTGGATGACCTACTAGCAGAGAGACCTTCTGGGCTTGCTTTTAAAGGAGGTACAGTACCTTGAACTGGGTGTATTCTGCATATTTTGTGGCTTGAAGTAGAGCAACAAAGAACATCTCCAGCTATCTGCATCAAGGTATACTGTATATTATACAAAGCCAGTTGCATTATTTTGCTATCTGAAGCAAATAATTCCACCACTACTTCTGATCCCTAGCAATTAAAACAACAACACGAATTGCTGCCATTGAAATAAGTAACAATTCTTTGTCCTTTCATGACACCCTACAATCTGCTACTAGAGTAACGGTAAGGCTGGCCTTGGAAATAATACTGAATTTATTATTTTAAAAGTTTTGTTTGTTTGTTTGCAATGAAGGTCAGTGTGATCAAGTCTTCAACATGTGTTCCTATGCTGTATCTGCATTTTTCTGTCTGTTCATTGTCAATCCGGGCACTTGAGCAAGTGTGTGTGTCCAGGAGTGCCTGAGGGCAGAACAATCAACCAGCAAGACTGGGTATGCTGCTTACATGATTGCCAAGCTATGTTGCATGATTCCAACAGGACTCCGGCCATAATGTTTAGGCATTTTCATGAAGAGTGCACACTTCAATTGATTATCTGGCGTGTGGGTCAGTTTTAATTGGTGAGGGCAAATTGTAATTGAAGTCAAGGCACACATTTATTTTCTGGATCAGTGATAGTTCCAGTGTGTTTTGCAGTACATGGGGATAAACGTGGGCAGATACTAACGTTTTACTTAGGATATAATGAACCAAAGTAGAAAATGGACATGAAAGGTTCTTGAAGGCCTGTTGGATTGCCCTTAATACTAAATCCAATGTCCAATGTCCTGTGATGCTTGTGTTCATGACACAGGAGTTTAAAATTTTTTTTGGAAGACACTACCCGTGTGTATAACAGATGATCTGCCCTCAGTGGGGAAGGCTTGGTAGATGAGAACCCTCATATCCTACCCCCAGTTGTCTTTTTTAAAATCTACTATATATGTAGATTGGTAGTCTTAGGTAGTCAATGGGCCATTGCACTCTAGAAGATTACATTCCAAATAATCCTAACAGCTGTCTCCTTCTCCTGCTGATGTCCACTCCATCTCCGTCTTCCCAGAGCTGCATGAGAACCTTCTGGAGGGCATGCTGGCAGTTGCAATGAAGAGGGGGACATTTAGTCCACAAGTAATGTCTGTACTATTGGTAGAAGGATATTACTGGATTCTGTTAGAGTTTTATTTGCAACCTCGCATGCTGCCTGTAGTTTGTTTGAGAGGGATTTTTCTGGGTTGGGGTGATTATCTGTTTTTCCAACTCTAACTTTCTAGTTCCTCCCAGCCTTTTAAAAAAGAGCCGCACATAACTTCTGAGTGATTTTTCACTCTCTTTAGTCTCTTTGTTTGCTGTTGATCTGTTAACTGGATTGCTAAGGATGTGTGCAGTAAAGAAAGCAGTATATACAAGTCTATAAGTTCAAGCAACTATAAGTAAAGATTTTTTTATTATTTTTTCTCCTACAGATGCCTCAGTGTGATTTATTGAAACTTTTAATAGCAATTAATTAGAAAGAGATAAACTCTGGGATTATTTTTTCTCCTACAAATGCTTCAGTGTGATTTATTGAAACTTTTAATTGCAATTAATTAGAAAGAGATAAACTCTGGGGAACTTGTAGCTATTCTCCTCTGTGAGTATCTGTACTTCTACTGCATAGCAAAGGGGAATTTTATGAGAATTTCAAAACTTTGCAACAGATTCAACCATATGCAGGTTTTTTTTAAACTGTTGTTTTATCAGTGTGGATCATGTAACAGTGTGGTGCTGAGAGTGTTAACGTGGGATATGGGAATTGTGGGTTTTAGTCCCCTTTGACCCACAAAACCCATGTGTGATCTTCAGCCAGTTACATTCCCTCTGTCTGTTCTACTGCACAAGTTTGTTATGAAAATAAGGTGTGAGGAGCCAATTATATCTCTTGACAACAATTGGAGAAAGTGAGAAAACTGGTATTTGCTCCTTACAAGATGAAAGTGGATAAAACTCATCTTGGTGAGTTTGTTGCTGCTGCTTGCTATAAATGATCATAAGATCCTTACATACTGCTCTTCCTCCAGGACTTTACTATGTCTAAGTTTACTAAAAGGACAGTCACATTGATCCAGGAAAAGTTACTTTTTTGGATTCTAACTTCCAGAATCCTCCAAAAACACTAACTTTTCCCAGAGTTGTTGAACACCTTCATGTCATATCCTTCTATGTAAATCCTTGCTAGATGCATAGAAAGGAGAATCAGTATTGCTTTTTGAAAGCCATGTGTAGTGAGACTCTAGATGGGCATATTGAAAGGAATAATCTCTTGTCTTTTCTTGATTACAAAGGTTTATTAAGTCATATGTCACTAAAGCAACTCCTGTATAGTTTGGGCTATGCGCCAATCAGACTGTGTTGGGCGGAGGAGAACTAGGAGACAAACATGGACCATACAAATTGTGACCCCCATATTATTTTAGTCATGTTTGTTGGGAGGAGTTGTGATGGATAACTGATGTGGCTTCTGCTCATACCATCATCGCCTAGACCTGAAAGGAGAGGATTACTGGTTGTCCAGCAACAAAAATAGTTCTTGATCCCATAAAAAAAGTTGTCCAGCCCTACTTTACAGGAACAGCTACTTGAAAAGGTCTCCTAATTGTTTTTTAAGTTGAAGGCTACGTTCTTCACTCTTGATATTGCAGGTATTGGATCAATGTTGCACCACATGGCATGCTGGTGACCAACACAGTGGGGCCTGAGAGACTGAGAAAAGGGCCTCATGGAAGATCTTAAAAAGGAGATGGAGTTGTGTGTCATCAGCACCCTGGTGGTACCAGACCACAAAATTCTGGACATCCTCTTTCAAGTTTTTCAGGTATATGTGAAATAATATGGGAAATAATGGAACCCTGAGACATTTCACAGACTAATGGTCAATATGTTGAACAGGAGTCCCCGCCCCAAACCACTATCATTCACCATACAAGGGAAAATCCCAGAAACTGACCCCTTTTTTCACCAGTTCACCACTTCTCTCCCAAAGACAAAGCAACTGTCAGGGCAGCTTTTCAACAAGTGTGAATGGTAATGAGCAGAGAAGGGTATCCTCTAGACCACTGGTTCTTAACCTTGGGTTACTCAGGAGTTTTGGACTGCAACTCCCAGAAGCCTTCACCACCAGCTGTCCTGATTGGGGTTTCTGGGAGTTGCAGTTCAAAAGCATCCGAGTAACAAAGGTTAAGAACCACTGCTCTAGACCAGTGGTCTCCAACCTTGGTCCTCCTGATGTTCTTGGACTGCAACTGGAAGTTGAAGTCCAAGAACATCTGGAGGCCCAAGGTTGTGGACCACTGCTCTAGACCATCTTGACTGCTGCCATTGGTGTTGTCAACATTCAGACTGCCCTTTGCTCTGTAAAATTTGGCATCCTTTTTCCTACTGGCAATGTGGGCACAATATTGTACAGTAATATAGGGCCACATCCTGGGTTTTTGAATTGTGCATATAGAAGCATAATTTCCCACAGTCATAAACCGGAGGGTTTTTGGAGAATTGAATTGTTCCTTAGGCTGAAGTATATGTTCTTCATCTTGATATTGCAGGTGTTGGATCAATGTTTCAACATATGGCATGCTGCAGAATCAGTTCTAAACAGTAATATTGGACCACATCCTGGGTTTTTGAATCGTGCATATAGAAGCATAATTTCCCACAGTCATAAACTGGAGGGTTTTTGGAGAATTGAATTGTTCCTTAGGCTGAAGTATATGTTCTTCACTCTTGATATTGCAGGTGTTGGATCAATGTTTCAACATATGGCATGCTGCAGAATCAGTTCTAAAACCTTCAGCATCTTTACCATGTGTTGATTTCAGGCAGATGATAAACACTAAATGATGCAGTCATGTTTGCACAAGACAAGCTACAGTGGCCTTTTGTGAGAAAGAACTACTCCCAATTTAGATGCAAATTTATTTTTTGCCTCAAGAAGCTGCAGTGATTTCACAGAATATTGTGCCTTAACTACAGAAACACTGATTGTGACCAAGACTTGAGGAAATGATTATCCTAAACATTTATTTGCTGAGCTAATCCTCTTTTGTGATTCTTGGCACTTCTAAATTTAAACCTTGCCATTTCTCATCCTTAGCTTAGCAGTCAATTTACCACATGGGTATCCCATTCTTCCTTGAAATATCAGATCAACACCCATCCACAATGATCATACCATATGAATTCCATCCGGAACAAGTTAATTGATCCTCACAATTATTTGTTTATTTATTGGTCTTTTATACCACACTCATTAGTGCAAGGCACTATTCTGAGTGGTTAACAATAGATTAAATCCAACCGAATTAAGAATAAATCAAACAAAAACAAAGATTAAAATGTTTTTAAAAATTCAATTTACGACAACACAAACAAGGATGCTATGAATAATAACCCACAATAGGGCAGCGTAGGTTAATTAGATAAACAGTGACATGTTTGGGCTGTCCAATTAACTTCATACGTGAGCAAGGACTTAAACTCTACTGTTCCCAATCTATTCAGTGAACTACACTGGCTCCTTTGTTTTGACTCCTAAGACAACTTTGGTGAGCTTGGAGTGGGGCCAAATTGTCCCTTCCTGATCTGTTTAGGGCTGCACTGATCTGTGATGATAAAATGTTGCTGATCTGTGATGATAAAATGAAGTTTTGGTGGCAAATTGCAACAGGATATTTGAACTGTGGATTTTCTCAGTTGTTGAGGTTTTGCCAGTGAATTTTGGTTGTATAGTTTTGGTCTGTCCTTTGCATGTGTGTCTGCAGAAATAGCATTGCTGGCCCCTTGCACATCTAGATGCATGCTGGCTTCAGGTTTCTCTGTGTTTTAGTTCAAGAATGGGGAAAGTTCAGCCCATTAATCACATGTAGCTGCAGGGATCCCACAGGGGCTTCTCCCAGATGACAATTACAAATAATTATTAATTATAAAAATAATTATTCATTTTTTGGGGAAGGGGAGAGTTAAAAAAATCTTTGTGAGAATGATAACTCCTTTGCCCTGCAATACTGTGTCTGGTGAAATTAAGTTAAAACTAAACAAAAACAACAACACTTTTTGAGACTCTCTCAGCTCACTGTTGTTCTTCTGATTGGCTGTAGAATAAGGGGACCCATGTCTGTTACCCCAAGTGTGTAAACAAAACCAGCAACAAAAAGACTGTACCTCAGCATTAATCTACGCGTGCCTTTAAATCCCTCCACCTGCAGAATGGGGTGTATTCTTCTATTTGGCATCCATCTTGGCTGTGGTAGTATCCTTCATCACAATCTGAAATACAGTGTGTGGGGGTTGGGGAGGTGTTGCATTGGAAAAAATAAGTGACTACTCCCCAGCTGAAAAGACAGTAGCAAAGAAAAAGGGTCCTGCTTCTTCATAACTCAGTTCTTGCTGGGTATGGTGCAATTTAAATGTACTGTACCTGCTAATGCCAATTTTAAAACAGATGCAATTGATCCTATAGGCAGAATTCTGTTTGTGATTTGCACTGGCATAAGAGAAATTGCATAAGTCTTGGTTGGAAACTGCTCCTCATCAATAAGCTGCTGGTGGTTGTGTTTCTGGGTATGCACCTTATCACTAGATTTATTGCATGCCAGAAATGCAACCAGCACCTCATCAATGAATGCCAATTTGCTGCTGAGACTTACATGACTTCCCTTTAGCAAGTGTAAATTGCCAAAGGGTTCTGACCCCCATTACAAAGATTATCAAATTAACACAAACACTGAATGGACATAAGTGAAAAATCATTTTAAAAGGAACAATGAAGATACAGACTTTACTGATACTATTTCTTTCAGTGAGTTTGGTGGCTGAAATCCTTTTGCATAGTGGAGTACGGCACAACTAGAGTAGGCCCATTGGTGGATTTAGTGAGTTAGCTCTTCCATAAGTTCCACTGATTCAAATGGACCTACTTTAGTTATGACTTACTACACTAAGCAACAGGATTTCAACCATGAAGTAGAGTTCACTTTATGCTAATGTCACAACCAGAATGGTCTTTTTTAATATATGGAACTTACGGAGAAATTGGCTCATAGAATGCCCTCTGATTCAGTGGGCTTATTTCAATGTGACTAACTACACCAAACAACATGATTTCAGCCATTAAGTAGTGTCAGAGTGATGAGAGTGTCTGCCTTTGTAAGATGAAAGGAGAAACAATCTGGATTTATGCCAAGCACTTCGCACAGATGCATAATACCTATCAGTGTGCTGCGAACTAGCAGGTAATGCTGTGTTGCTAAGACATGAGGAAAAACATAAACATTTATCACAATAATACATCAGGATGATCTAGTCTATTGTGTCTTTGTCAAGGCCAATTTGAAGAATTATTCTTCGGAACATTGGGACAATGAATGGCGCTCCAGTAGTCTAATAGAAAGGATGCGATTTCTACTGACATTTAGGGCAGTTATGCTTTATCCTGTCTTCTTGGACATTTTCCAGGTCACAGAACAGAGAGTCAAGGAAGCCATGAGGACTGTATGTATGAGGGATGAGGAGTTTGTAATGCAAAATGTACTGTGAGGCATATTTATAAATCCTTGAAGTCCCAGTTCATCAGGAAAACATTATCTTGCTTTTTGCATTCTCTCTCTCCCCCCCTTCTCTCCCTCTTTCCCTCTCCCTCTCCCTCTGTCTCTGTCTCTGTATGTGTGTGTCCCCGAGAGAAGCTGTCTATGGAGAAAGGTGTTACTGCCTAGTGGTTGATGTGATTCCTGTTAAAATTCCCACAGCTTTGCCTCCAAGCTCTTTTTAATGTTCTTGAGATAAGGAAAGGGGCTTACAGAGCTGGCTATACCACTAGGGAAAGTGAGGCAATGATTGCAGATAGTTGTTTGGGATGGGGTCAGGGTGAACTGGAGTGGCTACTTACTTACATGTGGCATACAGCTTGTCCTGACTGCAGAAACTGGTATACAGTACTGTACTGCTCTATGAAGGCTCATTCAGAAGGCGATCACATTATCAGTATCTCTTCTGCCAGTTGATTGAATCAAGCCAAATGGGAGCAGTGCTGATATGTTAACACCTGTGACAACGCCATCCTAGTTCCTGGAGCTAGGTTAGGTGGGCCTTTAATACCACCCAGCAGGACTCTTCTTATGTTCTTTAATCTGGCCAGTGTTGTGAATAAGAGGCTAGAAAACGTGCAGAGTGCCTGAGGATCTCTCAGTCTTCTGGCTTCATTTGCCTGGGCAAGGGGTCACTCATCTTTCCTGTTAAAATACTTTGTAACTTTGATTCCATTCCTTTAGTAGCTTGAAAAAGGTTTTCCTATGGACAGTAATACTGACTCCTAATGAACAGGATCACCGCCTTGTATAAATGACACGTATTTTAACAGAGACATCTTTTACTGAATCTACTTCCAAAAGCAGTGATATACATGTTTTACTATTTTCTCAGAAGCGGTAATTTGTATTATCACTGTTCTTTGCAGGACGTCGTTCTTAGCCAATCAAAGGCTCAATGATCAATACAGTTTTCCACGCACCCAGTATGAAATATTGTATATTGCTGTGCTTCTGAACTTCATACAAATCCCTCTGAATTGGTCTGATTTTTTAATTATTATTTTGAATTAGGGAGTCAGCCAATTCACTGGTTCCCACCCCTGCCTTAAAGATGCTCAAGCAGTGCCAAGGATGGGAAATCTATATATCTGTGATACATGCCTTAGTTACTTCCCAGCTAGATTACTTTAATGTGCTCTATGTGGGGTTGCCGATGGAAAGTGTCAGGAAATTTAAATGGGTCCAAAGTGCAGCAGCCAGATTTCTGATTGGGGCTGGTTACAGGGACCACATAACCCCCCCTGTTATAGCAGCTCCATTGGCTGCTGATCAGTTACCAGTCTCAATTTAAAGTGCTGGTTTTAACCTATAAAGCCCTAAATGGCCTGGATCCAAGCCATCAAAGACTGTATCTCTCATTATGAGCCAGTTAGGGTGTTAAAATAATCAGGAGAGGCCTTTCTTTCTGTTCTGACACTTTCAGAGGTGCATCTAGTGGGGACACAGAAGAGGACCTTCTCTGTTGCTGCTCCCAGACTTTGGAACTCCCTCCCACAGAGAATCAGGCTGGCCCCATCTTTTCTATCCTTCTGCAAGCAGGCAAAAAACTTTCTCTTCAGGCAAGCCTTTCCTCAGTAACCAGCTATCTGTGGATGATTTTTAGATAGATTGTTATGCATTACTGCTTTGACTGGATTTTTAATACTATTTGTGTTTTCCAGTTTTGTGTTTTCCATTTCTCAGAGTGACATTTTAAAAAATTGTATACTTATTGATCTTTTGTATACTTATTGATATTGTCTGTTAATAATGTAAGATGCCTGCTTATTCATTGTTTGTAATTTTAAATATTGCCTTTTAATGATGTTAACCACCATTGCATACTTATTGTTTTCAATTTAAATATTGTATTTCATTGTCGAGAGCCGCCTTGGGACCTTTTCAAGGAGAAAGGCAGGGTAAAAATATTTTAAATAAAATAAAATAAATAAAGCTAAGGATCAGCCCTCTTTCCCTTCTCTCCAGCAACATTATTCAACCGTGATCAGCACTAGGTGGCCTTCTTTTGCTTCCTTAGAACTAAAGGGGGCTGTTCTGAGCATATGCAGGGGACACAACATTCCTCTATATTGCATAATACAGTGGTGCCTTGCATTATGGCATTAATTCATTCCAGCAAAATTGCTGTAGAACAAAAATATTGTAATGCGAAATTAAAAAGCCCATAGAAACGCATTAAAACCCAATTAATGCATTCCTATGGGCTTGAAACTCACAGTCCAGCGAAGATCCTCCATAGCGTGGCTATTTTCGCTGCCCGTACAGCGAGGAATCTGTCCCAGAAAAAAGCAGGGAGACTTTTTTTTACCCAGCAGCCATTTTGAAACCGTTGATCAGCTGGCCGAAAATCGTCGTTTTGCGAGAATCGGTTCCCGAAGCAGGGAACCGATCATCGCAAAGTGAAATTCCCCCATTGAAACCATCATAAAGCGATCGCTTTTGCGATCGCAAAAAGTTTGTCATGATGCGGTTTCGTCATTAAACGGGGCGCTCGTCTTGCGAGGCACCACTGTATGCGGTTTTTATTCAAATGTGCAGTAAGGCAGAGCATCCAAAAAGACAGAGCACCTCATTTCCCTTTTTGACATGGACCTGGTTCAATAAAGCTCATTGGGATTACACATTTTGCAAAGCATTGCCTATGGTGCACATCCGTCATTTAGTCCTTTGTGAGAAATTTGTGAAAGAAATACTGTGTACATCTGGCTAGACTAACAAAGTGATAGGGTCAGAATCTAGCACTACCTATACATATCAAGTGAACTGCCATCTTAATCATTCTTCAGTATTACTGCTGGGATAGCAACACTGGTGTAGAAAAGCCAGGGCTCTTAGGGTTGAAGCCCTGGACTTTTCTGGGTAGCAGGGAACAAAACATCATCTGACATTCCTTTTAGGCTTCCCTGTTCCCTCTGAGCTTACCTGGAATCATCTCAACTGCAGGGGTGGGATCTATTTATCCAGGAACTGTCTGTTATGCAAAACATCTCTGTTGGAATGCTGCATTTGAGGTTGGTTTGATCTTCAAAGGGTAACTTAAGCACCATCAGCTTTACAGAAGACCTGCTTCTCATTTGTTGATATGAACTGATCCAGTTTTGGGCTGTCCAGAGGAAGGAACCATCTGGCTACAGGGATTATCAGGATGAGCTCCTGTGCTTCCAAATTTACCACTCCACAACTGAGTAGACCCCTCCACTTTTCTCAAGAGCAGCAAGCTCACTTAGCAGGCACAGGACAGATAGCCTTGAGCACATAGGTCTGTTCTCCAGTAGATGGGAATAGTCAGAGAGTTGCTGTTATCTGTTCCATACCACTCAGCTTCTGTTAGAAGTAACCACCCCACTTTGCCTTATGGGTGGGCTGGCCCTGATTTGTAACTTTGTAACCTTTTCATTCCTATAATTGCAACATACCACAAAAGCAACTGATGCACTTTCCATTTCTGTGACATTCTTTGAAGTATTCTAGCCAGACCTTCTGTGGCATGAATCAGAGATTATGCTCAAAAATTCCCTCGCAGAAGACTATTTGCATTCCTTATCAAGTACTGCTGTCTTCTCAGGGGGGTTTCCATATCTATTCTATTATTGTTGGGTATTCTGAAGTTAATAATAACTGACAGACCCAACAGAGAATCTTGGGATTTGCTATTATGGCTAATTAAGCAAAATACTAATTCATGCAGTGACTGTTTTCATGTGCTAAATTGCATTATGGTTTGTAATTGGCTTTATGGCAAATTCCAGTTGCCGTTGGTTAACAATTGCCTTAAAGGAAAGATCTTGGGAAACCTATACATGTTTTAAAAGGTGGATATGTAATGAAATGTCCACAAGGATTGGCCAACTGTGATGTAGTTGTTATAATGAGGGATTAGGGACAGAAACCCCCTGTCCAAGCCCTTGAGCTCTCAGACTGGTATCTGGCTCAATATTTGGTAGCCTACCTCACAGGATGGTTCTGAGGAAGAAAGAATTGTGGTTGGTCAACTTCAAGGCCTCTGCTTGCTCTTTTTAAGCATTTTTTAATCTTTAAACCAGCCCTGGGCTGAATAGCCCTTCCAACAGAGAACATCGTCAAATATGTAACTGTCCTCTGAAAGCCCTTTATATAGATAAATGTCCTTCTTAAGTAGGAGACATTGTCACCCTTTTATTCCCTTGCTTCAGAAACCTTTCTCAAGGTCTGACTCTGGTACCAGAAGTGATGTACAAGAGTAATTTATTTATCACTTTCACAGTTGTTTTGTTGTAAATTTGGGTACCCAGTGTGGTGCAGTAGATAAAGTAACTAACTAGGACTCAGAAGGCCTGGGTCAAGGGTCCACTGTATTCCCTTGCTTCAGAAACCTTTCTCAAGGCCTGACTCTGGTACCAGAAGTGATGTACAAGAGAAATTTATTTATCACTTTCACAGTTGTTTTGTTGTAAATTTGGGTACCCAGTGTGGTGCAGTAGATAAAGTAACTAACTAGGACTCAGAAGGCCTGGGTTTGAATCCCCACTCAGCCAGAGAAGCTCACTAGGAGTGTGGAACTGGTAAAGCCACTCCTTAATCATCTCATTTATCTTGAAAGCCCTATTAGGGTTATTGCAAGTAGGTTCCGATTTGACAGCACATACCGTATTTTTCGCTCCATAAGACGCACCTTTCCATAAGACGCACCAATTTTTTAGGAGAAGAAAACAGGAAAATATAATCTGTTTTCTTAGCTCCATAAGACGCACAGACTTTCCACACCCCTGTTTTGTGGGGAAAAAGTGAGTCTTATGGTGCAAAAAATACAATAACTTGTAAATTATGCTGTGCTGTGTTTACATACATGCTAGATAAACTACAGGTTCTGGCTTCATGTTATGAAGAGGTTTTGAATGAAAATGATGGTGGTGGTGATGATTGCCTTGACACTTTTTAATCTCACCCAGAAAACTTGCACTGAGTGACTTTCATGATGTTTTCTGACTCCAAGCAACTTCTGATATATTGTACCGTATGAAAATGCCTATGTTCACAGACATGTTTGTGGGTGAAGAAGGATGCTCTATAATATACAAACACTCAGAGCCAGAAATCACATGTTTCTGTGAACCAGTTTGTTTCTTTTAATTAGGTGACAACCCTCCTGTTTTCCAAAAGGTATGAATACAAACTCAGTGCCTTAAAAACTCTATTACATTTATTTCCAATTGAAAACAATGTTAAAAAAAACACAGATTAGTAGTCCAACATAAAGCAGAAGAAAAACAGTTTTCACTCTTGCAAAAAGGCAGATCACAAATAGTTTCCTGTCAATTGTCTACTCAATAAGAGAACAGTGCCAGCTAAGGGAAATGTCTCTGAGTGAAGGGCCATCCTACCCACCAAGCACTCAGCAATCACAGCATCACCCTATAATGATCTCTGCAAGCAAATTTCTCCAATGCTCTGGACTGTTTGCTGGTTTTATTATCCACAGCCCTAGTGCAGAACTGAGAGCTGTGTGGGTGGGGCAGGGAAAAGATATATAGTATTTCTTTTTTGTTGAATAGTGCCAACAGATGTTAAGTTTTTTGTTAGTGGACCTTCTGCAAGTTCTAAAGGTATGAAAGAAAATCACCCATCATTTCATTTTCTTCATTTTCTCATCTTATGACTCAACCAGTATTGTCACCACACTGTAACCAAACAGACCTTATAACTCTGTTATGCCTCTCTGTGTATCTCATTGATTTTATGGTAAAAATGCTTTCTGTTAGGAACAGTTCAAACATTCTCGTGTAGTTTCTTTGTTTCCATCTTTCTCTGCCCCTGGGCATTCTTGAATGATGTCATGGGTACCCTACATTGCATTGTCTGTGGATGTCTGCACTAATATACCTTTCCACTCCTATTTCTTATGTGTTTCCACTTGCTCCTTCTTGGATAGATTGGGTAAACATACATATGATTCTCTGCCATCTCTGTTGACGAATACTCTGATATACTGAGAGAACATTTTCTTCATATTCTAAGCAGTTTTCAGCTAGTAACATATCTTCCCTTTCAGATGACCAATAATCTCTCTCAGAGGCACCCTGAGAGAACAATTCTATAGCTTTCTAAATACCTTATTTCATTTTATTGCACTTCCAAACTGCAGGATATATAACAAAGAAAGA